GAGCACCAGTCCACACTCCAGCTCCTCCACATTTCCCGTGGGGATGGCTTTGGCTGAGTCCCCTGAGCCCTAAGGGAGGGAAGAAGAGGCTGCTGACCACCACACAGTCACCAGATGCAGAGTAGCAGACTCCACCAGTCCCATTTAGCATCCTTGACCTTGGGTATTTGCTAAAGGCCTCCAAGCAGCAGCACGGAAAGGGCTCCCTTTACGTGGCGAAAGGCTCTTGGCAGTGGTACCGGCTTCCCCAAGAGCTGCCAGTGGTCACTCCACACCGGGCAGAGGACAAGAAGCCGTGTCTTTGAAGGGATTCCCAAGGGCTGCAGGGATGCAGCAGTGCCCTGCTCCATCCTGACAACCCAGGTAGGGTCGCAGCAGCCCCACGCCAAGGCCGTACCTCCAAGCGGGTCAGGGCCATGCGGACGCCCCTCGCCCGTCTCCCGTCAGCCGTGGGCAGCACCTCCTGAGGGCTGCGCTGGAACTTCAGCCCCCACTCCCGGGGGGCTGCTGCCTGCACCTCGGCTGTCTTCTCCAGGGCTGTTTTGATCATCAGCTCAGTCAGTCGCTTCCTGGGCCTGGGGGCATCTACGAAGAGAGAGTGAGTTTCAGAACAGGAACCACAGTGAAAGCCCCTTGGGACACAGCATGGAGCCAAGGCCATGTCAAGGCAGTTTCAGTGGTATGCGAGTGTCCGTCTGGAGTTTGTCACGCCGATGGGAATTCAACACCTTTGACATGACAAACTGCAAGTTAAAGTGACCAGGAGAGCTCCTGAGGCTTGAAGCCAGTGGGACACACAAATCAAAGCCTGCGATTTTGCTGTCTTGCTGGTGCTCTGAAGCAGCAGCCTGTGGAGAAGAGCAAGTCTCTGGACACCGTTGAGCTTGGTGTTTTCTTTATAGCTCTGCAGGAAGCTCTTAAATCAACAGCCTTGGGATCTCTACTGCAAGGTTCCCCCCAGGCCTCCTGAACCTCCTGCCCTTATCAGAGTGCAAGCATCACTCCCAAACAGCAAAGTGACTGCACAGAGAAACAGGCTGTTCCCTTCGTGCCCTCCTTGTCTCTGTGGCCTCCTAGCACTCAGAGGATGAGCCACATCATGGGCACCTGGCTTTCACAGGCCATGCTTTAAGCACAGGGCAAGAGCTTCTCTGATGCACATTCTAAGCATCTCCAGTTAATTCCTGGATGCTTGCCTGTCAAGGTGAGTCCCTGTCTGGAGGAGGACAGCACATTTCTCTCACCTTTAACAGCATTTTCAAGGCCTGTGAAGTCAGCAGGGTTCAGGACAGGTCTGGCACCGGGTAGGTTTATCATCTCCCGTAGCTCCTGGGAATTGAGGGCAGGAAGATGTTACCTCCGGTGCAGAGAGGTTGTCCCACAGCCCCAGGCCCCCTTCCCCAGCAGTCCAGACTAGGAGCCAGAAAAACATATGCAGGAAGGGTAGGACATCTGGGTTCCCCACCCATCCCTAGGACCACATCTTCCATCCAGCCATGGGCAGCCGGGGGCTCAATGCTGAGAAACACTGCTGGGGCCTTACCTTGATTGTGAAAGCAACTTGGAGAGGTCCCCTCCTCCCAACCAGCCAGACACGCTTCACCTTGCTGCAGGCGAGAGCTGACAGGGAGCTGTCAGTGATGTCCGTCTTCTGCAAGACAGAGACAGGAAAGAGGGATGAGGGCAGCTCTGGAGGGAGCTGGGGGAAGACACAGCCTCTGAAGGTGAACAATCAGCAGAAAAGCATGCAGAGAGCCTGGGTGAGGGCACAAAACAAGTAATCTCCCTTTGTGCAGAGCTATTTGCACAGCTGGTCCCTCATCACTGAATGCACTTTCCATGGCCATAATGCACTAGAGATAATGAGCCAGCACCCTGTGAGGTTGCCTTGGGGGATCCACCCAAGAGGTTACCCTCGGGGCTAAGAGAGCAAAACCTTCCAGTGACATCAACTTTGGGGAGCCTGCAGATGCTGTTGGATGACTTCCCAGCTCAGGATATAGATGTATTTGAGTAAAACCCACTGCTACAAGCAGAAAACAGGCTGCCGCCCTCAGCTATGGAGAAAAAAAAAATCCAACAAAGAATCCCAAGAGGAGAAGCTTCTAGTTTGGTGGTGGAAAAGGGCAAGCAGCTACACCTTTGCTTCTCATAGAAAAGGAAGGGGTGAAGCTCTACTGACAACTTCCTAGGTACCATCAGCAATCCAGAGAGCTCTGCAGCATTAGATCACTGCTGAGAGGCAACAGCCTTCCCCACGGAAAGATCCCAAAGGCAGGAGACTCCGAAGTTCTGCTGGGATGGACAGAGATCAGCACCCACCCATCAGGGAGTGGATTTGGGCCGGAGGCTGCCTTTGTGGCAGTGAGTACCCCTGGGACTCACTCTGAGGAGATGCAGTGGGGACAGAAGGATCCGGGCGATATCCAGTGCCACGTTGCCATGACCCAGAATCAGCGCCGTCTCACAGCTCAGGTCGGGCTTCAGCTGTGGGGAGAGAAAGATCTGTCTGTGAGCGAATGCACCCAGCCGACGTCTTGTCCACCCGCTCGGACCTGCTCTTACACTGCAAATTCCCTTCCGCCCCTCTTTACCCCAAACAGAGGTGGTGCAGAAGGGGAAACTCCACACCAATCTCCTCACCAAGCAAACACAGCAACACAGTCACTCCAGGCACCCCAGCTGATCCCTTTCCCTGCAATGGCATCTCTGGGAGTAGGAGTTGTTTTGGACAAAAAAATCCTCCCGAGACCAAAGCAGAGCATCACTCCACCAGGCTCCCATCTGGCCTGGCCAAAACGTGTTGCCAACCTACAGAGCCAGCTAATCCTCTCTCACTGATGTGCAAATTGTTCACATTTCTACCATCTAAGAAGGATTTAACGTGGTGTGTGCTAATCTTTTCCAATTGCAGGCCTTTCAGGACTTAATCTGGAGCTGAACGCTGCATTCGGTTGCAGGACAGGCAGGAAGGGCAGGGAAACAACCCCCTCGAGGTACTCACATCCCGGTTCTCGGGCAGCCCGTTGTACCAGCCCACGAAGGCTCGGGCTGAATAAACACCAGACAGATTCTCCCCTGGGATCCCCAGGACCCGGTTATCTTCAGCACCGTAACTCTGAGGAGGGAACGGACACAGTCAGAGATGTCACCACGTAGAGGGTTTGATATCAAAACACAAACGTCCCCTTCCAGCTGCTGCCAGGGACCCTGCAGGGCTGCTAACCCTTCCTGAGGGCCAGGACTTCATCTACCAGCACAAGGACTTCATCCACCCCATCCCCCTGGGCGCCAGAGCCAAACTTGACCTCCGTGGGCCAAGGCAGAGAACGATGAGCTAAGGTCTGAACAGGAGGGACAAATTTATGTCATGCTGAAACAGGAATTGGCCATCACGGGGAAGAGGTTCCTCAACCACTGCCCCTTGTAGCGGGGTTTCAGAGACCTGCAGTTGACACCATGCACATTCTCCCTGCAAGGCTTCAGACAAACCTGACAGCATCTGAGCTGTCCCAAGGCTGGGAAGAGTTTGCCACAGTAATAAGGCAAACACCTCACCCAAACCCTCTTCCCGAGATCCCGCACCCCTTTTATGGAGCTAAGGCAGCCCTGGTTCCAAAGCACGGCACCCACCAGCACCACGGCGTGGTAAGCCTGTCGCAGCTCCGCCACCATGACGTCCCTCCCCACAGTGACATTCCCGTAGTAGGCGCAGCGCTCCGAGCGCGCCGTCTGCGTGAAGGCGTTGATCACGTTCTGCCGAGATCAAACAAGCACCGGGGAGTTACGTCCAAGCCATGGCCAAGGCCAAGGTCTGCTGCTGACGGAAGGTCCCTGTTTCCATCCACCCCAGCCTTGAGATGCTTCTCCCCGTCTTTGAGTCAGTTATTCTGAGACTCTTATCTAACAACAGACGTGGATAATTAATGGAGAGATCAGCACACTGTGACTTGGTTTCTCCATGTGGAAAGGAAAATCCATCTTTTGCACCCGTCTGGGGAGGACGAGATCCCTTCAATACCTTCAGTCCTTCTCAGTAAACCCTGCTGTAGGAGAAAACTCCTTCCCAAAGGTGAGGCTTGTAAGGGATTCCCACCAAACAACACCTTCCATTGAAAGTGCTGCCTGCCAGAAGCCCTCTGCTCTTATCTCAACCTTTCTGGGTCTCAGCATAGACAAGGAGGAGATCTGCACCTCTCCAGTGTCACAGCTCCACACCACGGCCAGCCCTGAGGCACCACAAAGGACAGCGATGGCTTTGCCTTGCACCCATCACCAGCAGCACATTCAGCCACGTGGGCAAAGAGACGAAGCTGGCACCAACCTTCACTTCGGGGTGGTCTGGGGCCACCCCAAAACGGACGAGCCCGAAGGGAACAGGCAGCTTCTCATAGATGTCCACCTGGGCCCCGCCATGGTGCTGCAGAAGGAAATCACTGTTAAGGGATGAGGGCACAAAGGCTGCATGGGCCCAGCAGCTCAGGAGGGACAAGCAGCGCTCGTGTGCTGCTGTTGGGAGGGTTGCACCAAGCTCCCAGAGCCAGAAACAGCCTCTTCCAAGCACAGGATGATGCTGTATCTGTTACTACCAGCTCAAATCACAAGGTGTAGCAGAGACCGTGACCCCAACCACCATCAAGTGCATCTCGTGGGGGGCTCCATCCTCTTACTCATCACACAGCTCCTCTTCCACACTAAGCTGGTGGCTATCCAATACCCAAGGGGCTAATAAAAGAGCCCCCATGCTGGCTGGGAAGCACCCAGCTCAGCACTCTGGGTGCTGATGGACTTGCCAGGCTGTTTGCCAGCCCCTGGCAGAGAAGCTCATGCCCTGAGATCCCCCTGAGCTGAGTCACCTCAGGGTCAGAGCTTTAGACATATGTTTTGTTGCAAGGCTTTTGTTATCTTGTATTTTGAGTCTGCCTCTTCCCAGGGATTAAGCAGCCCTGAAATTTGTCCCTGAGGCTTAGTGACAGCTATTTTCCAACACATACTGGAGACAACACAAAACAGTTTAATGGCAGGGTTAAGCTGCTGCATCTCTGGTCAATGCCAACAGCCCAGTTCTGTGCTCAGGTCTCATTTCCTGACAGAACCAACTGCCCAAAACACTAGTGTCTCTACAGACACCAGGTAAAGGATCACCCGAGTGCCTTAGTTCAGCTGGGGGAGGAAAAGGCAGGAGAGCAGGTCCTGCACATTCCCTTTAACACACATGTCATCCCTGCCGGGTGACAACATCTCCAAGCAAGGTAGATCTCTGCTGCTTATTTAATTCTAAGAAAAATGGCTTTGACTGAACTTGCAGCAACTTGGCGCAGCCTAGAGGACCCAGGGCCAAGGACAGCAATGCCCGCCCTGAGAAAAGGGGCCCAGGAGGGCTCAGTGGGGCCCCAAGCAGCCCCCCAATCCCACAGATCTGACTGGAGCAGGGCTGGGAGCCCATAAAACCACTCCCCAACTGCCTCAGAGCCAGACAGTGTGGAGATGCCTGCGGGAGCGGCCAAACCCCACCCCGGTACCTTGAGGATGTGCTGAGCCGTGTAGAAGCCCGCGGGCCCGCTGCCCACCACG